GGAGGTTCGAAATTTAAAAACGTTTGAAAAAGACTTAATAAGAGATCGAAGAATTTAAAGAAATAAAGAAAATTCAACTTGATTTCCATCTCATGTAGAATTTTCTAAATACATTGAAGTTAAGAAAATATACTACTTTCTGAAAAAATCTAAATCAGCATAAATAACTTTTGAATGAAATTATAATATCGTCTGATCGAAAAAGAATTGCGCCTAGTTGGCTTAAAAATAACGATCGATAATATTCCCTATAATAAGTAACAGCAATCTTCACCTCCACATCACCCCTGACGTCGTTTTTTTTATAATAATAGCTCCCATATATAGCGTTTAACGCCTTGGGAGTAGCAAGGTACAGCTTGCTATACTAGAGCCGTTCGGTATACAAGGAAGGTAATGTGGCTAGCACTACGCTTCAACCGCCTATTATTACCTCAGGATTGTGAATCTCATACCCCCTTTACATGCAGCCACTGCCGCTGCTACTCGCGCTGCCCGCTGTCCTGCCCTCAATAATTCCACGGCAGCTGTAGAAGTAAGTGACCGTTTACATGCAGCTACTGCGCCTCGCATTACTATTGCTCTCCATCAGTAACGTAGAAATTGCGGCGGCGGCGACAGCGCTCTGTTTTTTGAGTTTGCAAAATTATATTAATATGTTAAAGAGAAGTGTGATAGAAAAAAAACGCCGACGTATTTGTGCACACTTTAGCATACGCAAAGTAGCACTTTCCTGCATACTACGCGGTAAAATATTTTTCCCGGACACTGATTTTGAAGCAGAATTACCATATTATAAATTACTAGATGATTAGCCTTTCAAATCGTATCAAAAAGTATGTTCATATATGAAAGTAATTTGTACTTAAAAAAATCAAAAAACGTGGATGGCATGCAGTTGACAAAGTATGCATTAGTGGTTTCCCTAAGTAACTATCTGAACAATAATTTCGCACCCCAAATAACATGAATATTTTGTGCTGTTGTATAGGAAAAATAGTAGGTAATTACACAACAACTAACACTCGCGGCGCCGGAGGTTCGACAGCGGCAGCATGTAAACAGACGTTGCCACTCGTGCTGCCGTTCCTTTGATGTCCCTTCAAAATACCGCCACTGAAGGGAGCGTACGGCAGCAGCAATGACATGAGCAATGGCAGGGCGAGCGACGTGTTTACATGCTCGCGCTGCCCACTTCCCTGGCCAATGCCATGCTTACTGCCGCGGAAGTGGGCTGCATGTAAAGGGGGTATCAAGTACTCATTTAAGGCTGAGTCGACCTAGGTACCCAAACTATTTTTATTTTAATAAAAATAGTCTAGTTTTTATTTTAATAAAAATAGTCGGCTGATGAAATGCCGGGTGTGGGAATCGAACCCACACCTTGAGATTGGTAGACGAGAGCCTGTACCTCTACGCCACCGGGCACCAGGTTTTTTTTATTGTAGGGTATTTATACCTTCAGTAATTTTATTTGTACCATAACATCGAAAAAAAAATGCGTAAAAGGTGACTTGGTCGAACTGCCAGTTCCTGTTATTTTAAGTTTTGTTTTGTTTGGTGTATATGTAAAATGATTTTTATAAACTGTTATTTTTTAGAAATTTAATGTTTAATACTGTATTGTCCGTAGACTTAAAATAAAATATAGACTGAGCATCTCATTCATAAATAGCTGGAACATGCGGTCAGACACTGTCTTGTTATTGTTGTGTTATTGTTTTAGGTTATAACGAGTGCGACACGAGCGATAGATAGGTTGTCTCTGTCATAACGGTCGTTCCCTGACGACTCTGCCGAAAAACACAACACTGTCTTTCGTTTCTCAAGTACACCTGAACTCTCCGTATCATAGCCGGGTAATTTTTTTTATTTTAATGAAGCTATAATTAAATTATTAAAAATATATCGTATTTAAACTTTTTAAATTTTATTAAGATTTAGGACAGTTTTTTAAATAAAAGTTTAGAAAAAACAATTTAGAGTCAAAAAGGATAAAAATAATAAAATACACGTTATACAAGAAATTTTATAATCGAAATTAGGTAATTTTGAAATTAATAATAAATTATTAATTTTAGTCAAACATTTACAACCCCAATATTAATCAAAACAGGATCTATTCCACAGATATAATAGAATCGGCGACAGGGAGAGAAAAAAAATATGATTGTTGTAATTTTTTTCTGGTTAAGTGATGTCTTATTATGTAAATTAGAGAAAACATAAATCTGTTCCATTAAAGCAAGGAAGGTGATAGGAAGTGGATAAAATAAAAACTACATTTATTTAACTCGGTACTGTCTTTATTATACCGGGTGCGTCTCAAAAGTGGCTCATCATCCTATAATTTTTTATATTTTAAATAAAAAACAAGATTTAGTATGTTAGTATATGAAATAAATTAGGATTGATTGACGCATTCAATTGTTTTTGGTCACTTCCTGTTTCACCGGAAATGACTATAACTTTTAATTTTTAAACGGCACCCTCGGTATATTTCTACTTTATACGATAGAAAATGACACTCTGAATAGAATGACATATCATATGTCAACTTTTGACATTTTCGCATATGGTTTAATTGTAATTGTAACACGCGGTTCATAACGACAATTTGACTCGAAATACCAAGTGTGGTGGTATCAATATATTCATAAAAAATGCCTTTTCCAAATATGCTAATGAGTCACCCTTGTTCCATTTGAAAAAATTGACATTTGTATGATTAAAAATACGATTTGTACATCTTTTAACCGGCCTAGACAAGACACGAAACCTATTAGACGATCAAAACTATTTTTCCAAGGCTCCTTGATTAAAACTTAGTGGATTGAAAAAACTGGATTGAAATTTAAAATAGGATATGTTTTTAAGCGACAATGTCAAAAGTTGACATATGATATGTCATTCTATTCAGAGTGTCATTTTTTATCGAATAAAGTAGCAATATACCGAAGTTGCCTTTAAAAATCAAAAGATGTAATCATTTCCGGTGAAACAGGAAGAGGCCAAAAACAATTGAATACGTCAATAAATCCTAATTTATGTCATATACCTACTAACATACAAATCTGTTTTTTTTTATCTGAAAAAATAAAAAAGTTATAGGGTTGAGCCACTTTTGAGACGACCCGGTATATTAAAAAATATTGTTTCATAATGTAATATCATTTTAAAATTCTTGTATGTTATTTTAGATTCTGAAGATAATTTTAGAATAAACCGGAATATATTTTTAATAAAAACATTATTAATTATTAACAGGGTTATAATTATGATTTTGTTACAATGTAAGTAAGCAAATAATGTAATGTAAAATAAAATTTTGAAAAAATTCAGATTTTACATTTTACTAAAATATTATCTAAATAAGCGCCTTTCAACAACAACGCCACTGACTGCCAATGGGTAAATTGAGAGTTGCCTACCGGTCAAAAGTCGCTTCAAGACTTAAATGGATTATTTAAGTCAAATTTCTTGCAAATTTGGCACTGGCGAACCATATTTTATAGTTTTTGAACAGAAAAAGTCAATAAAATAAACACTTAAGGACTACAAGCTAAGAAAATGCGTTAATACAGCCGGGGAGATAGCGGCAACAAAGCTTTACCGCACACGTGCGACACGTACTACAAGGTAATAAATGAATGAATAGGCTCCCTCGCCTCTAATCGGTGTTGTCATATTGTAAAGAACTTATCCTTATTAAACAGTATCCGACTTATAATTTAGTAGTATAAGGACTATTTAATACATCTATGGAATATTAAAACCTACTTTATTAAACTGTAGTATTAATATCTCAATATATGTGTATAACAAGAAAAAAAATATTGATAATATTAAAGACGTGACAACATAGGCTGGATGAGGAAGGCTCGGTCGACTGTACCCAGAAGTAAACATGTGTACAAAAAAGGTTGTTTGTCCGCGTTGAGATGTAAATAGTGTAGTCTATATTTTATTTTAAGTCTATGGTATTGTCAAATAATATATTTTCAATTTTTAAATGATCAGCCAGTAATAATAATTTTTTTTTCAAAATAATTTTTATTCCAAAGACTAAAGATCGATTATAGACCGATTTGACGAAGTCGATTTATTTATATTTCTCTCAAATTTTTATAGTAGACAGAGAGCGCATGAGACAGCTACGGTTTCTTGTTCTTTCTGCTGCTTAGTGCCGTTTAGGGAATATCGTAAGCTGCTGGTCAGCGAAATTCTACGCTGTGTTCCCTGAACGCGCCCATTTTATTGACGGACATCGACCAGTATGAAAATATCCTTTCAGAAAACGCCATTGTCATTTGATTTGGGGTTATAATTTTATTGACGGACATTGATCAATGTCAAAATTAAAAAACATATAAACATAAATGTGAACTGATCTCAGACACACCCTGAAACTCATATTTGACAAATAATGATGACGTAATGGCGAACGATGCCTGAACAAACAGTATCTACCTACTCAACATGTTTATTTTTTGTCAATAATGACATGTATTAACAATTTCCATTTTAAATATCTTGAGAACGGTTGTTCGTAGGGATTTTTAACAAGAGACTTTTTTTACGTAAAAAATGACGGATATGTATAATTTTTCACTCATTAGTTTTATACAGTTACGGCCGAAAAGTTATTATTCTTCAAAACAGTTAAAACACATGTAGGGGGCGCCCCCTACACGTAGGAGTCATATTGTCATCGAAATCAAATTTCTCATACCATAAAACACCCAGACTCAAATTTTTATCCGACCGAATTATGAACTATAGTTCAGAAATTATTTGGAAAAAAATTAAATAACAATAAAACTTACTGTATCTCCGAAACGAAGCATTTTAGGACATAAATTTATATGAACTTTTTTACTTATTTTTATCTGCAGAATATACTGCCGAAGCTTCCCGAATACAATTCGGACCACCATGCATACTAAAATAAAAACACATATTAATATAATAAATAATTAATCTATGATATTTTTTCATAGATCGCTTTTTTGTCCTGCATTCACCAACGACGAAGAAAAGGACCTATCCATTCAAGACAGAATAAGAAAACTAACATGGATAAATGCTCATCATCTTGATTGTAGTATAAGTGAAACGAGTCTGGAAGTTAGAGATTTAGTTTATACGGCGATCAACGATTTGCTGGGTATGGACTCCGTGAAATCAACTCAAGAAAAATTACAATGTGTGGTCAAATGTTGTAGAAGCGTTGTCGAAGTATTGCAACATTGTCAGGGTAATTATGAAGCTTCTATCTCTACCGAGTGTGTCTCAAAGGTGGCTCACCCCCTGTAACTTTTTTATTTTTTCAGATAAAAAAACGAGATTAGGTATGATAGTATATGACATAAATTAGGATTGATTAACTTATTCATTTGTTTTTAGTCACTTCCTGTTTCACCGGAAATGACTACAACTTTTGATTTTTAAATGGCACCCTCGGTATTTTTTTACTTTATTCGATAGAAAAGACATTCTGAATAGAATGACATATCATATGGCAACTTTTTTGGCACTCTCGCTTAATAAAAAAATGTATTTTAAAATTCAATCTAGAGTGCCATGGCTATGTTAAACACACTAATTCTTAATCAAGGAGCCCTGGAAAAATAGATTTGATCGTCTAATGTTTTGGTTTGGTTTGTAAAGTAGGTATCCGGGCTAGTTAGAAAATACCCATATCGTATTTTTAATCATATCATAATTTTGTCAAATGGAACGAAAGTGGCTCATTAGCATATTTGGAAAAAGCATTTTTTTTACAAATAATTTGATACCACACACTTGGTATTTTGAGTCAAATTTTTGTTACGAACCGCAAGTTATAATTTCAAATAAACCATATGCGAAAATATCAAAAGTTGACATATGATATATGATATGCCATTCTATTCAGAGTGTTATTTTCTATCGAATAAAATAAAAAAATTACTAGGGTGCTATTTAAAAATCAAAAGTTGTAGTCATTTCCGGTGAAACAGGAAGTGACCGAAAACAAGTGAATACGTCAATCAATCCTAATTTATGTCCTATATTAACATACCAAATCTCGTTTTTTAACTGAAAAAATAAAAAAGTTATAGGGGGTGAGCCACTTTTGAGACGCACCCGGTATATTGTTTTTACATAGGAAACTTTAATACAATAGATTTATTTTTGCTACAAAAATATCTAGGAGATACTCATCAAAATTGTATACTTGAAAAATAAGCTTACCTAATTAAAATGTACTTTATACAGTAGATTATTTTTATCATTTTTAAAAGTATTTAAAATAATCTTAAACTCGTTAATTTTGGCTCTTATTCTGAATGGGTCCTTAAATACAATAATTATTAAATTTTTGAACTTTGTATGAGTCAGTCAGCGAATTAATTTTGCAGAAATTTTCTTTTTTTTACGTTGCATGAAATGTTCCAGAATCATTTTAAATGTCTCACCCAACTAAAAAAATCAAGATGGCATCGTACCTGTCAAAATTGACGTTTTAAAAAATTTTCAAATAAAAAATCGGCATCTTAGCGAAAATTTTCATTAAAGAATCTTTCTACTATGTTTAAATAGGAACCAGGAAAATTGTAAATTGAGTGAGACACTTAAAATGATGTCCCTGTACATAAAATTTTCTAAATGATTTCTAACTGATCTCAGCCTAAAACTTTTTTTTGACATTTGACATATGAAGGGGAAAAAGCAGGTAGGTCAATATCTCTCCAAACTGAGAAAAGCACGATTCAATATTCAAAACGTTGCAAAAATAGAGTACAGGAATTTATAAAATAGTGTAATAGAGGTTTGTTAGAAGTTGGTTAAGGTATTTTTTTATTAGATAAAATTTGTAACGGACAAACATCAACAATGAGTTGTTTCCTTTTTTGCTTGGCTTACCTGCTGATTTTCCTTTATAGTATAATTTTGATTGTATATATCTTCTGGCTAGGTTGATTTTTTCCCAGTTTTGTGATTTATAAAGATGCTTACACTCACTCTGAACCAAATGCAAAGAATTTTTAAATATAGCAAAAAAATTGACTTACTTTCTTTTTTTCCCTGGTCTTTCATATGATGATGACGTAACGTTGGAAGATCGTTGAACAGTTTTTACATTACATTGTGATTTAATAGAACACTATACTATTGCAAATTATTTTTCAGGTGGACCAGTAAGTGCTGATGAATTTTTACCTGCTCTTATATTTGTTGTGTTGAAAGCCAATCCTGCCCGATTAAAAAGTAACATTTTATATGTTACAAGATTCTGCAAAGATTCCAGGTTAATGCAAGGGGAGGCAGGATACTATTTTACAAACTTAGTAAGTCAATACGCTTAACTTTTTTGCATTATTTCACTTTTGGATATTCAATATACATAAATACTATGAAACTCTAAAGTCTGTCTAACGAGAAAATGCAGGACAATGACAGTACTTGTATTTATTTTAATTCATAGGAAGATAATATTTTCTGTCTTTTTGGATGTTGTAGAAATCTTCCCTGATTCGTTGGACAGGCTATACTTTTACAGAAGTTTTTTTATGTATAAAGCTTACTTTTATTTATTTTTTACAGTGTTGTGCAGTTTCCTTTATAGAAAACTTAACAGCTGAATCTTTAAATATGCCGGAACAGGAATTTCAGGCTTACATGTCCGGGGATGTCACTACAGTTAGTGCTTGGGAATCCGCTTTAGTTGCTTGTGAAGGTACATCTTTGTTTTTTTAAATGCAATTCATTATTTTTTGTATTTTTAAATGCATTAATTTATTTAAAAAAAAACTCAACATTTAAGTGAGTATGCAGTCAATAATCACCACACAGGCTAATAAAACTACTTTTTCAAATTTGTCAAATTGTGACTGAGTCACTGTTTGATCGAGCTCAAAACAACAATGTAGAAATTAGTTTAGTAAATTTTATTTTTTTTTGTTTTGTGTTGAAAAGAAAAGTAATGTCGTTGAATATGTATTTTAATATTTTATAAAGGAAATGTCCTTGTATTCCAATGTCATATGATGCTAGTTTTAAGGCCTTTTTGTGCAGAGGATGTTTTTTTAGCTAATTGATTCAGTCAAACTGTCCTGATGATGGGAATAAAATTCTCGAAAGCTTGACACATTTGAAAAGTAGTTTTATTAGCCTGTGTGGTGATTATTGACTGCATCCTCACTTCAATTTTGAGTGTTTTCTTAACTTAGTCAGTCACGAACCTGCTTTTTTTTAAATTCATTTCATGTTTTGTTATAGGGATGCATCAATTATGTGAACATTTAGCTCTTTTAAAAAATCTAAAAGAAAGAAATAGTTCAATTCAAGAGGAGAAGAAAAGATTGGCAGAAGAAATGAAAAATATTAAGGTTAGTTCTTGGTAACATTTTAGCTCAAATTAGCGCACCTCAATCGCGCCTTGGTTAATTATACAAGAGCGTAAAAATGTAGAAACAAAATATTTTATAGGTATATGTGGGAAGACAATGTGCATAATTTAAAATTATTTTCAAAATGTACATGGTGTGTCAGAACTAAGATCCATATCAAAGTTATAATATAATAGTTTTTTTCTTATGGATCGTATTTTATTTCATTTTTGAATCCTTGGAAAGTTTTTGAGATATTTAAAGAGATTTAAATATACATTAATTTTTTAATAAAGAATACAGGGTGTTGCATTTGAAATAACGAAGTGAATATGAAATACCGGTTGTTTCATAAGAAAAAATATAACTGTGGTATAGTTTTTAGTTCTAAAACATCCTGTATATTTCAAAATAATTTTCAATTGTGCACATTGCCTCACCACATATACCTATAAAACATTTTGTTTCTACATCTTTCTGTTTTCGTATAATCAACCCGGGCGAATGAGGTGCGCCACCCTGTATAGTGTATAGCGTAAACCACCGTTCTGAGAAAAAAAACAGCTTTATATCAGGATTCCTATTTTAGACTTTCACCTCAACTTTTTTCACAAAATATATGGGAATGGTAGCGCACTTTGTAAAAATATCTTCATAGCTGTATCAAATATATTTTTACACTAAAGTTGTATTTTTATACAAAAAATACCATATAATATGCACCCACCAGCTACACCCCCACCCTTTTAATATTTTTGATTGTTAAACTCGTAATGAATTTAATAATATAAACTAAAGTGAATTGCAAAATACTGATTTAGACTTCCAGTCGACAGTAATAACATTTATATTTTGAACAAAAATGGATGGACTATTTTGAAATTATTTTCAAATAAACTATTTAGAAAGGAGAGGAGAAAAAATTTCAGTCAATTCCGATCCGATATGACGTCATAAGACGTATTATGTCTATTTAAATAATTTTATTTGCATTTATTAATGCAAAATTACTATGTTAATATTGATAATTAAAATAAAAATATAATACAGGGTGGTCCGAACTGTATTTCGGAAACTTCGGGGGCATATTTTGCAGATAAAAATAAGTAAAACAGTTCGTATAAATATATGTCCTAAAATGCTTAGTTTCGGAGATACAGGGTGTAGAAGTTTCATTTAGATTTCGATTTTTTCCAAATAAATTCTGAAGTAACGTCAATATTTGGATGAAAATTTGGTATCTGGGAGTTTTTTGACATGATAAATATTTAATTTTGATGTCAATATGACTCCTACTTGCAGAGGGCGCCACATTTTCTTAACTTTAAGACTTTTTAACTTAAGACACATAACTTTTCGTCCGTACCTGTATAAAACTACTGAGTAAAAAAGTGTACATTTACGACGTTTTTTTTACGAAAAAAAGGTCTCTTGGTAAAAATTGCTACGAGTAATGGTTCTCGAGATATTTGGAATCTGATTTATCAATACCTGTCATCATTTACATAAATTAAACATGTTGACTAAATAGTTATTAGACTGATATAAATTTGAAATATTTTGTGCCAAAAGTTCAACAGAAACTGTTTTATCATTTTTTCCAAGAAAAATTTATAGTTAATTAAAAAAAATAAAAAGTTCCAAAATGTATCATTTCATATAACTATCTACTCAACATGTTTATTTTTTGCCAATAATGACATGTATTGACTATTTTCATTCTAAATATTTTGAGAAAGGTTGTTTGTCGCGATTTTTAGGTTAGGTTAGGTTAGGTTGCTGGGGTTTGGAATCATGTTTGATCTCTCACTCGGAGGCCTTGGGCCCATTGCGATACCCCTGTCTTGTTGTACCAAACCTTCCTCTCATTCTTTCTTTGCGTTAAAGCACTTCCAGCTCTTTGCAAAGTTCCCGATGTCGCTGATGTTGGCTTCTGCTGCTTCCTCTAGTCCCTCCAAAAAACCTTGCCCTAAAGTTTTAAAGCGTTGGTATTCCAGAGCCGGACAGTATCACAACAGAACAGGTGCTCTATGGTTTCTTCTTCCTCTCCGCATTCTCTGCAGTAATCGTCGTTGGAAATTTTCCATCTCACGAGGTGGGACAGTTTCCAGTGACGACACCTACAATTATGCGTACTAGGTTCTTTTTGTGTTCTAGTAGTTGTTTTGTCTTTTTGCTATCTACCAGTGGCCATAGTCTTCGAGGTGTAGCGCAGTCTTCACGGTGTTGCCACGTCTCTTGCTGCGTGGCCTTGATGGCAGTTCCTATAGCTTCCTTCAGCGTGTTGATCGTCACAAGTGGTGGGTCATCTGCCACGGCCTCACCCCTGGCTCCCTCTTTGGCGAGTCCCACCACATTGCTGTGGCCTGGCACCCAGCACAGAGTAGCCCCGATTCGACGCAGCCAGGACAGCGTGCTTCTCGGCATTCCATCACAATTTTCGATCTCACTGATTGCATGGTGATGCTTCTTAAAGCGCCCAAGCTGTCAGAGTATATCACGATATCTCCTATTGGTCTATTATTAGCAATTTTCTCTCGTATATAACTAGCCGCTTCCTTTATGGCGTAAACCTCTGCTTGTAGAACATTACAGCCAACCGATAGCCTTAAAGATCGTCGGATGTCTAGTTCCTCTGAGAAGATGCCTATACCTGTGCCTCCTGAAGTTTCGGAAGCATCTGTGTAGACTGCTATCTCTTGAGTGTTCATTACTCGGTTGCTTTCTTATTCTTCTCTTGTTGGGATGCGAATCCTTATCTTTTCTCCAAAATCATGTTTGGTGAGCATATAGTCCGTTTTCTGGTCTAGCAGATGTGGACTCGTGTTCACCATGATTTTCCCTATCACTGGCAATATCCTCGAGTGACCGTAGTTGGTCTGGTTCCACAGATTGGATTCCCTTAATCTTAGGGCACCCTTAGCGGCCAGATCCTTCACGAGTAGCGATTTTTACTGAGAGATCTTTTTTACGTAAAAAACATCGTAAATGTATATTTTTTACTCAGTAGTTTTATACAGGTATGTACGAAAAGTTATTACTCGGTGGCGCTCTCTACAAGTAGTAGTCATATTGACATAAAATCAAATTTCTTATGTCAAAAAACTCCCGAGTATCAACTTTCATCTAAATATTGACGTTATTTCAGAAGCTGTTTGGAAAAAATCCAAATTAAAATGAAACTTCTACACCATGTATCTCCGAAACTAAGAATTTTAGGACATACATTTATACGAACTTTTTTACTTATTTTTATCTGCAGAATATGCTGCCAAAGTTTCCGGAATACAGTTCGGACCACCCTGTATATTGAAAGCTGCTATTTTTTGCACGTGTATATTTTTATTTTAATATCCAAGTGTTGATGATAACAATTATTATGGGTTAGAGTTTATCTAATAAAGACTTTCATCATCATGATAAGAAAAAACAGTACACATAGATAAAAATATATTTTGATTCACTACTATTTTTAGACTGCTAAAACAGTGACGTAGATAGCGGGAAAAATAGTTTTTAGTAGATCTTATTATTCGTATAGATTTTGAATAGTAGATTGGTTAGACTGCAACATACGACTATGTCATCGTTAAAAAAATATAGTTAATATTGAGATATAGGCTACTACAATTTATTTCGTAACATTTCGTATATTTTAACATTACTCCAAAAATGCACCGTTTTGAATTATATATTTGAAAAACGACTTTTTTTTGTTTTGGAGTGTTCTAATTTTTTCATAGATACGATATACCGGGTATTTTCTAAGTAGTTAAACAATAGGGTGTGATTCCTCATCTGTTTTAAAAAAAAATTATATAAACTTGGGATCTAAAGTACTTCCTTTCTACAATACTACTTACTATTGGTGTTAAAAAAATATGGATTTTTTTTGCAATTTGTCGGAAACTACTTTAGATATTTTCTTCAATTTTTGTATGTTCTTCAATTTTTGTATGTGGTTTCCATTAAAGGTAGTTTTTTCCATTAAATGTCGATTTCCTACTTGAACCAGTCGCGTCCTTACGCACATCTCTCTGGATTATTTTAAAATTAATGGTACACCTCTGCTTTTTTAATTTTTTTTTGATTGTCCATCCCTTTTGAACAAGACTGATCTCTTAAGTTTTTCTTGTTCATCGAACCGGTTTCGAGAAATTAATCAACTCTAGTTCATAACAAATAAACACGTGATTAAGCTTGACCGGCACAGCAGCGATGCCCACTATTATATATTATTTTTAATCAGAATATTTTAGAAAACAAAAATAAATTAATTATAAATATATAAACAGTTATTATTTACATCAACGAAACTCACCTTCTTAACAGCACGTAAGGAACATTAAGGGCCATTACTACCACTTTCCCGTTCAAAATATTCTAATAAAATTGCGATGAGTTTTTTACCGCTATTAAGCAATCGTATACACTTCGCATTTAAAAGAGCAATGTTCGACTTCAAGGTCTGCTACTAAAAATTGCCAAGCTTAAAGTATCACAACAGTATTTATTTAAACCAAAAACTCATAATACAGAACTAAAGTGTCAAAACGAATAACAATGTCGGAAAATAAATAAATAAATGAAACTTGAACTTTTTTACAACAGAGCTACCACCTGAATCCCTAGCGCGAAATTTAAATTCCAGTTAGTCAGGACGGCGCGGCGTCGAATATGTCCATGGTTGGCAACAATGAATTTAAAAATCGCGCCTTCGATTACCTAACTAAAAGTTTAATTGGGGGGGATATGAAATATATATTACATATCTCACAATTACCTCGTTTTCTAGCTATTTTGAGATATGCACTGTAGTTGATTTATTTTTTTTTGGAAATTTCACACCACCAGATCAGAAACAACAGATCACAAACAATTTCACACGATCACCCTGTAGATCAGAAAGGAAATACTTTAGACCTAATGTTCATATAAACTTTCTTCTTGAGAACTTATGAGGAACGACATCTTAATTTTTTTTAGACTACTTAGGAAACATCTTGTATACACTGGTTGATGCGGCTTTTTAAGAGCTACAGTGCTATTTGTTCAACAAAAAAGTTTTTGTTAAAGCCCTGAGACTGTATGATGAGTTATAACTCGTTATAACTCAAAAAAGGAGAACACACAATAGATCTATAAGGTCGCGGTGATTAACTCCCCTCCTAAACATTCTACATTCTACATTTGTTCAACAACTGCACACTTGCAATAAAGTGCAATCAAGCTGCAATATTTTTAACTAAATTAACTAATAACTAAAGTCTTTGATAACTTAACCAGACAATTTTTAGTACATATACATTTTTTAATTACAGGAGGATATAACACGTGAAGTATCTTCCGTATTGGAAAGAACGCCTCTCATAATAAAGCCAAGGAAACCTTTACCGATGGTAGACCAAAGAAATACTACCGGATCTCTGTTGGCTAATATTGCTATTGCTACTCAGAATATTTCTCCCAATGCTGACAAGGCCAAACTTACTTTGGATATCACACCATGCATAACGTTTCCTCCATCAGAAGAAAACACTTTAAATCAACCATCAGAGGATCTCTTAAGTCCGTACGAAGCGAGCTTAGAGGGTGCCACTCCCGACGATACTAGCATGTTGGGGCTTTCCAAAGTAAATTATGACATCGACTTTTCCGATTTTAGCGCCGACAATAGTATGGCCGAAGTACTTACACCGGAAAAACGATGTTCTCCTAGCCCTAGCTTCACCCCAGACCCTTTCAGTCCTATGTCGGCGACGACTTGTACGATAACACAGCAGCCTTTGATACCTTCAAGCGTACCACTTCAAGTAAGCACCGTGGATGATTCTAAGAAAACGAAGGCGGATTTCGTTTTGCCATTTTTGGATGATCTACCTAAAGAGTCGAGCGAGGAAACTCTTCTGGATAAAACGGAATCGACTCCAACGATAAATTTACCGCCGCCTATTAATCCCACCAAGACAGAGTACACGGGTTTCTCGAAACAGGGTTGGAAAATTCCGAGCATTCCTTGTAACACGGGCGATTATAGTTGTTTGAGTTCACAGCCTGGAACTTCTAAACAAGACGAGTAGTGTTATAATAAATTCTTGTGATTGTTTTTTTATTTATTGATTTAAGTATTAATTAGTTATAAAACCAGAAAATATTTATTAATTTTTAGAGTTAATTTTATTATATTTTATTTAAAAAATCTAAATAAAATGAGTAGTTGTTGGAATCTGTACTTTTTGAGACCCACTCAAACTAAAACAAAACGGACAAACGAAGCACTTTTGTATAGATAGAGGTAAATTTTGTGCAATTAACTTATTTTAATCTCCATGGAATATTGAAACTCCCTGTATATTTTATAGGTCTGCTTTGGAAAATAATTCTCCAAAATTTTGTTTTCTCAAAAACTATGCGATGTGGCGTTTTTTATAAGACTCCAAAAATGTAAATACTAGGAGGATTATTTTACAGGAAAAAAATCAGTTGGAAAATATTTCTTCTAAAATGTATGTAGGGGTTGGGGTAGTTTTTACCTTGCTCGTTTTTTGTGAAAGTCAAATGTTAAAGAGCTTAGCAAAACATAGGTATCCCAATTCTCACTCAAACCGGAATATCGTTTCTTAAAATATCTTTAAAAATGGGTTTATTTTTTTAAACTTTAGAGGTAAATTGTGTCCAATGAACTTATTTTGATTCTAAAAATACGAAAGTACTACTAAAAAATACTACTAAAGTTCTATGTCCATGGAATATTGGGACACCCTATACAGGGTGTCCCAGAAATAAGTGCAAGTATTTTAAGGGGTGGTAGATCTCGATAAAAGAAACATATTTTCTCTTTTAGGCCAGTCGGTACGTCGTTTTAAATAGGCCTAGATGGAAATAATTAAGGGCAAGCTGAATTATTTTTTATTTTCTTTGTTTTGATGTGCTGAATGATATATTCAATTTGCACGGTCTGTCGATCCCCGATTTGGTCGCCATTTTGAAAAAGTCGATATAAAAACTACATTTTTATGGATTTTTTAAAATATCTCGGTCTGGGTGCATTGCAGAAAAAAATGCGGGTAACGAAAAATAAAGCAAATTAAATTCTCTACAAAAAAGGTTCTATTAATTATTCTCGTAAACTTATCAGTTCTAAAGTTATAGCAATTAACATCTAAGGCTTATTTTTAAATACATCTATTCGACAACAGCGCGAGACGGCAGCCGGGGTGCGGTCAATTACGCAAACCAGTTCGGGCGACTTTTAGTTTTAGTGTTTCATTATTCGAAGGCAAATTACTGTTCTTGGATTTATTACTTATGAGAAATAATAATAAAATAGAGTTTGAAATTTTTAGAAAACCCTCCTCCACAGATAACGTTATTCAGCATATTTCTAACTCCCCATATTCCCATAGATTCGCAGCGTTTAATTCTTTGTTCTATAGATTATGTAACTTGCCACTATCCAGAGAAGCGCTTAATAAAGAGCTCAACATTATAAGACAAATTGCTTATAACAACGGGTTTCCGCTAGGAACTATTAACAAGATTTACTATAAGTTTGTAAATAGGTACAAGATGTCTTATAATGTCATACATTCGAAAAATTTACAGAGGCCCGTATAAAGCTTTAACATTTTTTGGTAATATTTCACTCCAATTGGCCAAAATATTTTAAAAATCTTAATTTATCTGTTTCCTTTAAAACTATTAATACATTAAAAGCAAATTTGGTTAGAAATAAAGACAAAACGGAGAGGCTCTCTAAATCGGGAGTTTATTCTTTGAATTGTGGCGACTGTCAAGCGGTCTATGTGGGGCAATCAGGTAGAAAGATTTCCACCCGAGTACAGGAACATCTGAGCCTTGTCAATAAATACAGAAAAAACTGAGACTAAATCGGCTTTTGCGAACCACTTATTAGCCACAGGTCACGATTTTTCCATCTCAGAAAACGTTAGTGTTCTGCACGAATGCCAAAAAAGTAAAAAACTTGATTTATTGGAGAAAATGGAAATAACTAGAGCTAAAAAAAGTCCGGTTCTTGTGTGCGTGAATGAGATTTTTAATTTCGAACCAACATTAATTTTCAATAATCTGAAAGATTAATTCGGCCGTGTATTATTGTTGAGTTCTGAATCTTTACTTCAGTAGTATGGTAGATTGGTGGCTTTGCTCTCTGGTTCCCACCCGGGAGGCTAGAGTTCAAATCCCGCTGGGTTATTCTATTTTTTATTTTGTTTGACTTTTTGTTCCTGTTTGTTTTTTATTGACAAATATTTGCCGGTCATTTCAGCCTCGTCTCAGTGTTGTTTTAATTGTAAAATGTGTACGCGTATTTGGATTAATTTTAATTGTATTTGTAAGTTATGACGACCTTTTTATTATTTGTTATTTATTTAGGTTCTTTCTTGTTAGGTCTGATGATGCTCGTATATGAGCGAAACACGTGTAACAGTTTAACATTGTATAAACGTTGAGACCGAGACTTTGAGTCTTTTTTCTACTTTTTTAATTTGAACCAGGTCTCTTTGAGAAAAACGGATGCCTTCTTTAAATTTCATTATTCTATTCACCCTCTGCATCAGTATTGGACACGGCTGTGAAAGAAAACATTTTGTTTTTACATGCATTTAGTGGGTGCGACACCACTTCAGCAATTTACAGGCAGGGTACAATGAAGTTCCTTAAGGTTCTAAGATATTAGACAAGTTTGAAAACTGCCAGTTACTGTTTTAGAGACCCAAATGCAACTCCAGAAAGCATAGCCAAAGTTGGAATTCAATTTCTTCTTGCACTTTATGGGTCAAAGAGCGACGACACATCTATAGACATCGATTTTTTGCGCAATCTATAACAAAGAGTTTATTTAACCTTGCATCCCTTCCTCCAACCGAAGATGCGGCTCGCATGTACTCATTTCGTACATACCTACAAGTCCAAAAATGGTACGGTAACGAAAAAATGCCCACTGACTGGGATTGGAAGCAGTCGTCCAATGGACTTATACCGATTCTTATGCTGCAAGACGCCACTCCCCAAGAGTTATTGAAGATGATTTCTTGTAAAGAAAAGCAGGATTATAAATCCAGACGTATGGAAACCTTAGAGATATGAGCCAAACACACTTGGCGCTGACCCACGGTAAGCATTCATATTTTATAAATTTCCATCAATATGTTCGGTATTTTACGCCTTTGAAAAAAGTCCCCCAACAAAATTACATAATTTTTTTTCATAACTATTTCCACATCAGATTATATTATTATGAATAACACTATTCCTACTTATAAGACTTATTAACCTTGGCAGTTATATCTACTTATTGAAGATGATTTCTTGTAAAGAAAAGCAGGATTACACTGTTCGGTAGTGTGCGGTTCGTGCCAGGGAAGAGGGTGTTCAAATTCTGAAATAACTCTAGAAGATCCAGGGGACGACGAAGAAATCGATTCTCGATTAGAAGAATTAATGACCAACGAAAATATCGAAGACATAGACATTGAACAAGAACCAGATGAACAGTTTGATGAAGAATATATTGATGAGTCAATAGAACAACCTTCTACGTCAAAAAAAGCAGATGGTGAACATACATACTTATAAAGCATATCATGTCATATGGATATAAAAATAGAACATTTGCAACGGCAAGAAAGTGGATTAAGCCTATAGGGGAAATCACTTAAAAAAAGTGCGCCGAGTGCTCTACCACCAGGTGGTGTGGAAACGAGCACAAGAAAAACACAAATTTGCACTGGCAAATTATTCAAATTTACATAGAATCAGTTTCTCATATTAATTGAACCACTAGAAAATAGCTTTGTATTTAAGCGCCTGTATCTCGTTAACCTGTTCATGCACGAAATCGGTGAATAGGACCTTTTTTGTAGAATTTAAATAGCTTTCTTTTTGGTCTCTTGCAAATTTTCTGTACAGTGCACCCAGACCGAGTTATTTAAAAAAAAAACATAAAAATGTCATAATTTGACAGGATTTTCCAATATGGCGGCCAAATCCGAGATGGATAGACCGTGCAAAAAAAAACGAAGAGAATAAGTGTTATTGCAGCTTGCCCCTAATTATTTCCACCTAAAACCACTTGTCGACTGGTCTATTTATCGTTTTTCAAATAAGTTCAAAATAACGGAGTTATTTTACTTTGAAAATTCCCAAAAAAAAATGATTTTTTGCTAAAATTTTGAGAACCACTGGATCTTTTCTGGATTTTTTTCTTGTAAATTTAATCCAATACCTATATTGCCATATTATCAAGAAATTATGTTTTTTAACTAAAAACTAAAAAAAAATCCAAAAAAATTTTCAAAAAATTTCGAATTTTCCAAAATTTTTTTTCGCGAAAGAACCTCATAGACTTGTTTCTGGGGTTGAACATGGAACTATACTACCAGTTAAAATACTTGCACTTATTTCTGGGACACCTTATTTCTGACCCTGTATATGTCAAATAGAAAATAAAAAGTGTTTCCTAGTCAGCTGCTGTAACGACTGGGAGAGGACAAGACAAAAACAGTATCCTTGTGTTTTGATCGGTCGAGATTATTCGTGACTTTGCAACTTACTAGATGTTAGTAAATATACAGGGTTCAGCAATAGTGCGTCGAGCATCTGTAGCTCCTAGAATAAAAAATTTAGGAATTTTGTTTTAGTGCAAACCTAAAGTATGTACTAGGATGTATTTCAGGAATAGGAATAGAAAAACTAGGATGTATTTCAAGTGTGAGTGGATCGGGCTGTAATATACAGGGTGTTCCAAAAAAATCGTCTCGATCCACTTTTTGAGCCACCCTGTAGATGTTAAAATATCTTCCTGAAATACATGTTAGTACATACTTTAGGTTTGCACTTAAACAAAATTCCCAAGTTTTTTATTCTAGGAGCTACAGATGCCCGTCGCACTATTGCCGGACCCTGTACATTGTACAGGGTGTCCCACTAAGAATAGCTCTCGGCTGTATCTCAGAAAGTATTAGCCGTAGGGGCTGCGGAAAAAAATATTTATAACTAAAGAGGCTATGAGAAATTGCTGGAAATTATTTTCAAGTTTGTAGAACGACCGCTAGGGGGCACAACTGCAACAAAAAATAAGAAAATGGAGTTTTTACACCATTTTGCCTAGATAAGTTGTACTATAAGTAATAGCTTCATAATCTTCAGTAAATTTTGAATATTTTTTGTTCGAGCCATTTTTTCCCTTAAGGCTAATACTTTCCGAGATACAGCCGAGAGCTATTCTTAGTGGGACACCCGGTACATACAGTAATTATCATATGCTTAAATAGTTTATGATTTTTTTTTCACAAATCTGATTATTTGACCTGGCCTTTTGTTTTCATATATTTTAATTTTATTATATTGTATCCTATTAGTGCAGACAATAAATTTATTTTTTTATTATTATTATCCCCGACCAGTCAGTGCAGCCAACGTGTGGTTGCATCTGCCAGTAGTGCCAGCTCTAAGACTAACGTTCTTTAATGTGTCTGGAAAAAAACGACAATACTTGGATCCAACACAGCCAATGCCGCCAACATGACCAATAGTCCTTTCTCTCTACACGTTGACCATAAGCAGTGGCCGGCATAAGCATTGACACATGCATTGACCAAGGTGTAGTTTGGTTTGGTTTGGTATAGTTTTTCATTAGGTTGTGGCCTATGGTCGCTCGATTTAGATACATATTTTTATTTAAATAAATAAATCGATCGTCCCGGCTGATGATCGAACCTGGTAATTTCGAGATCTGTAGAGCTTCCATAAAGGCTTTTGAAAATTTTGGACAAGTAAACTCAGAAATCCTGACAAATGAACTCTGAAATCCGGACAAAATCCGGACAACGCAAAAAAGAAACTATAAATTTATTTATGAACTTTTATAGGGCGCAAATAATAGCCCGGAATCAACAAAAAAGCGAAAAATTTGAGCGCCAAAGTATAGAAATGTAGCATAAAGTAGAGCTATAGCATCATAGAAACTAAAGTATTCAACAAAGTAACCGAGAAATTAATTTAACTATAACTGTAAACTATTTTACTAAGTTAAATTGTTTTTGCGGTCAGGTTTCTCGGATGTTTTTCCAAATCCGGGCCGGACCGCTCCGGACATTTTAAAGATCCGGACATATCCGGGTAAATCCAGACGTATGGAAACCCTAGAGATATGAGCCAAACACACTTGCCGCTGACCCACGATAAGCATTCATATTTTATAAATTTCCATCAATATGTTCGGTATTTTACGCCTTTGAAAAAAGTCCCCCAACAAAATTACATAATTTTTTTTCATAACTATTTCCACATCAGATTATATTATTATGAATAACACTATTCCTACTTATAAGACTTATTAACCTTGGCAGAGTTATATCTACTTATAGAAGTACGAGGTTTAACAGATTTATTTGAAAAAAAAAGTTCGTTGCGCTTCACCGGCGAAATTAGTAATTCTTTTTCGATATTTTTACAATCAAAACATGGAATTGTTCCGTAAACAGAATTGTATTGATATATCTGAGACGATATTATATAATCTATTAAGTCCTCAAGGAAATCGGGAGAAAAAGTGGCTCGATTTTAATAAAGGTAGTATTTTTAGAGAAAAATATCTAAATTAGGTTTGTAGCAATTGGGCTTAATTTAATTCCGTACAAATAATGATAGCTTTACACGGCCCAATTCAGTCTAATGGTTGGGTCATCACTGTCATCAAATTGGAGGAAAAATTGGTCATCTGCAGGCAGAGCTGCAAGTTCACAGAAATCTTGAGTCTTTTTTTAATTTAAATCATTTTAATGACTTAAGTCATTTGATTTTAAGTCGTTTTTCGAAAGCTGACTTAAGACTTTTGAAATAGAAAAAGAATTAAGTCATTAAAAAAGGCTTCAATTCTAATAACGATTTGTCTTTTTAGGGCCTAAATCTTCTTAAAGATTAAGTTTTTTTAGAGAAGAGTGAATTCATTAAAAAGATTTAAATCCTTTTATAAAAGACTTATAGGTCAGATTTTTATATATTTTTATGATAAACTTTTAACAGCAGCATTTATTTTTGAACTGTTAGATGGCAGATAAAAAAATAATACTCTATGCCACTAGCAAAAAAATGGTTTTTCGGAACTGGTTTTGATAATTTGTCGTATGACGCCTGCGTAGTGACTCTGTTGTTTTCAAATAAATCTCCGACTCCGTTATGTAGCCCGAAAGACGAACGAAATAAATTAATAAAAGAAATAGTACCACAAAATCCTCCAGCCCTTCACTTTTTAATGGATATGTATTTTAATCTGTAATGGATACATATAAAGCACTACAAAATTGGTTAAATTTAATAAAAAAAAAATAATTTTTGTGTTTGCAGTGACTATGACATATTCTGAAAATCAACCGTTTTATTTTATGTGGTTTTAGTGTTATTTCGTCCTATTGCTGCCAAAAGTCACTAACTAACATTTTTCCGAACAACCAAATTCAATCACTAACTATGTTTTGAAGCGGAGAATCGATTGCAGAAGTCGTTATCTACGATTTCTGGCTATTTTTGTTTTATTTTAATACTGAATAGTTACTAACTATAACATCTTTATGCAATGCAATTCATCTTTAGACGCATTTTTCTCGGAAGTAATTAAAAGTAAGTTAGTGACTTTTGGCAGCAATGGGACGATTTGTACCTACTTCTTTTTCTAGTGCAAATCCATTAATGGATCTTTGCGAAGAGTTAACATTTCTCTTCGCTTCTCTGTTCCTGGCGATGTTTATTAATGACTGTACATTGTGTAGGCTTGACCACTGTCTGACATTCCGCAGCCAAGACATTTTTTTTCTTTCCTATACCCTTCCGGCCTTCGATGTTGCTTTCGATCACCAGATGCAAAAATTGATATTTGGGGTTCCGCGTTATGTGCCCAAGGCATGCGTTTTTTTTCTTTTTAATCAATTCAAACAATTTGCGCTGTTTGTTAACACGTCTCAGAACTTCTTCATTTGTTAACCTAGCCGTCCAAGGTATCTTCAGGATTCTGTGATATAGCCACACCTCGAAAGCCTCTATTAATGGCAGCTGCTTTCAATGTCCAACCTCCCTACCATAAAGGAGCACTGACTGAGGTTAAAGTCAAAATTAGAATATACAAGTACTTTTCGAAACCTCCGATGCCTACTGAGCTTGTTCGATGTGACATTTAATTTCCTTGTCTGATGTCCAATCTTCGGAGAGCCAGATGCTTGTATGGGATTGACCAATTTTATTTGTTCTGTTTGGTTCCAGTATAAGTTCTCGATGCATTGAATGTTTTTTTGATCTATATTAAGCCTTTTGAGTAGCTGCATTAATTTGTGGTGTTAACCCTTGCTTGAATCACTGATTTGTGAATCGCTTATGTCCCTTTCACATTTTTTGTAAATTCTTTAGAGTATGATTTTTAGAAATATATTTAGGGTATGGCTCATCAGTCATCAGGCTGTGATCAAGTCTGTAATAGTCACACTTTCCGGTATTGGTTTTCTTAGGCAGGGGAATAAAAGTAGAACACAACCGTTGTTTGGGGTAGTGACTTATATAGTTGTCTCATGTATAGTGTTGAATACTTTGTGTAGTGCTGTTACTGCCTCTTTCATCTAGGGGATAGGAGTTTTATTATTTTTCGAATTAATTATGGCTTTTTCAATCTCGTCTTTAGTGATCGATGGGCCGGTTAGCGAGTTATTGATATCAGCTGGGGGCCTGTCATCGTCAAAAAGAAGCCATTCATTCTTTGCTATTCTATCTTTATTCTTATGAGTCTTTGAATATCTTTGTACATGCCATCTGTTTTGTTCTTATACTTTTGATGTTCATCCATTAACAAGATCTCATCCGTCATCCATTTTTGCTTTTTGTTTTTTGCTTCATTGATTTTTTTACGACATCCATTATCTTTGTCCAAGATTGTGTTGGTTCTTCTCCCATATTCGGTATTATTGCTTGAATCTGTGTGTTGATTTCGTCACTCTGATTTTACTATTGGACCTCTCATTCTTTCTACGCCACCCGTATTTGGCTTTCTTTGACTTTACAAAGCAATTTTCATTACGGCTACTAATAGCACATGGTCAGAGGGAACATCCGCGCCAGGATACGTACTGGCTCTCTTGATGGTCGAGCCGAATTTTTGGTTAATGAGGATGAAATCTATCTGATTTCGTATTACATTGTCTGATCGGTCCGCTGCATGGAGACTTCGAGGCACAGCTTCCAGGCATAGAGGCGGCAAGAGTGAAGTTGAAACAATGTATTTGTTATTTTCATGTGCTCTTCTTGGCAGAATTGCAGAAGTTGATCGCCCTTTCTGTTCCTTTCTCCGAGACTATAAGATGACACGCAGGGACACCTTTTTAGCATTAAAATATGTTGTACTGATAGTAACTTTTACTCTCACAATTTATTCATTCGAATCGCTAAAAGCATTTTTTGAACGAGGCAGAATCGGACCTATATTAATATATAAATATAAAGAACATAGAAATCGTAATGCAGTGTACAGTAAAAGAACTTAAAAAGAAAAAAGAATTACTAGCAAGGACAAATTCGGGACGACCGGTATCCACGGATGCGACTATACTGTTTACTTGCCAAGTATTTAAACCATATTTAAATAATGTTTGTGCTGTTGAAATGTTTGTGCTTGTTGAAATGAACACGTCGTGTGAGCGCCAAACTTGCCAATGTTGTTTACAAAGTGGGGACAGGTGGGGATACTTGCCAAGTACGCAAATATTGGCGTACTTGCCAAGTAGACGAGTCGTAAGAGTCCGCCTTATAAGACTATAGGAAACACAAAATAATATTAGAATACTCTTGATGATTTTTTCTAATTTTCCAAGTTATTTTTTTCTTCGAAAAGGAAACATCGTAAGAACGTGGAAAATATTAACATTTATTTATAAAAGATTGCTAACAGAAATATTTAAACTAACTAAGGGAATAGCAAAATAGAACACTATTTATTAGTTCATAAAAGTTCCAATTCTTTTTGTATATTGAGGTGAACTAGTATTTTGTTTTGCTGTTGTAACACTCAAATTTCAACCTCAACAGTAATTTTAAGTATAAAACAATAATTGGGTGTTTTGGCAACGTAATTTATTAAAACCACAAATCGGTTCCACATATGTTGTCTTGAATCCATTTATCAAACTTCTTAATCATCTCTTCTGTCATTATATTCTTATGATCGCCAACGATCCCTTTTCTTATAAAATGAATACCTGCTTTACTGTAAAAATCATCGCCTTGAATGGCGTCGAAGAAAACTTGTAGATTGCATGCTTTATTTTTTCTCATATTGTGAAAACTTAGAAATTCAGAAATTGCGTCTGCATCTTCGTCGTTTAAGGGCTTCTCCATAAATATGGCTATTTTCTTTATTGTCTCTCGAGTATCTGTTTTTAAATCTTCGTATCTTAGAATTAAAATATTCTCATCGTGCCGTCTATTCCAGAATCCAAAATAATGATTAAAAATTGATCCTATTGGTAAAGCGTCGTTCATGAATAATTCGCAGAAAATCTCGAAGTCCACGTTGATTTTGTGATATATCTTGCAATGGTAGTAGTACGATACACATAGGTCTTTCGGATTTCTCATTATGTAGATTACCTAAAAAGAAACAAAATGTTATTCCAAAAGATTACAATACAGTGTTGTGTAAGTAAAAATGATTTGTGTCTATATTTAAGCCCCCCCCCCCTCACAGGAGGGAATAAAATTTACACAATTTTTCTTTATTTTATCATTCAATAATTCATTGATTAAGTTAATATTATAGACGGAGAGCTGGCTACATAAAAAAACCTTACATGGCTAATTTTTTTGTGAAGTATCCTTTTGTGTAGCTATTATGAAATAGTGATGTCTGCCAGCGCGATCTCGTGGCTTAAAGCGGGGGCGGCCAATCGAAAGAGTGAAATTTTGACACTAAAAATATTATATTATATAATATACACGAGCTATAATTGCTAAATAGCTTTTATTTATTATTAAGAGACGTGGAAAATTGTTGGCAGACATTTTTCTCGTGACTAAAATGCCGGCACACAACGCGAAAAAGGCATGAAATTTTGACAAAAAAATCATGAGTGCCGATTGGAGGAATGTCTTGTTTATTTATTTAAAAAGCCGTATGCAAAAGGGCAGACAAAAAAATCGTGGCTCAATCAGCGGTAGACATTTAACAAAAATGCGATATTACTCTCTACAGGGTGAGTCTTGAATAAGTGCAAATATGTTCAGAGCTGGTAGATCTCGATAAAAGAAACATATTTTCTCTTTACCGTTTTCCAAATAAGTTCATAATAACCGAGTTATTCAAGTTTGAAAATTTACAAAGAAATTGATTTATTTTTAAATTATTTTGTGAGTCACTTGTTTTTTTGTGTAATTGCACCCATTCTTTTAGTAACCATAAAAGATATTTAAACTCGGGAGATACAATGATCCATTCATAAAACGCTCTAAAGCTTCATCACACATTGGTTTGCGAAAATCAACGAGTGCAAGAGAGAATGGATAGAGAAGGAAATAGGGGTATCTGCTCGATGGCAACAATGTGGTTGTGTACAAAGATTCGACGTTTGAGGTCAATTTCCAGTGGCGTGCCGATCGACCGACAGTATTTTAAGGAAATTAAAATAATTCTTTAATAAATTTAAATAAAATTATAATAAAATTTACATCTTACATATTTGTCGCATTGTAAAAAAAATAAGTTGAGGGAGGATAGCGAAATAAAATAAAAACCAGCATAATTTTTTACTATAAGTTGGCTTTTCACATAAGAATAACGATTAAAAAATTAATAAGCGTTTTTTACTTTATTTTATTAAATAAAATATCAAATTTTAGGTGTATTAGTAAATGCAGTTTCAATATCTTGTTCCAAACCTTGTTCGTCTCCGGCGAATGAGATTCCCTCTATTAGCAATAACAAAATAAAATAGTTATTTTAACCTAATAACACAATAATTTACCAAAAACCAATATTTGTAGAGTTCACATATTTTTGATAAAAACTTTATTATTATATATATATATGAATTTTACAACTACAATAAAAAACAGTGAATAAAATTTAAAATGTGCCTATAATTTTTATTAGTTCACAATTGTTCATTAATAAGGGAATAAGAAGTAAGGAAGATTCAACATTTATTTACCTTAACTTTCATTTTAGGGATATTTCAAACACAGTAAAAAATATAAGATGTATATTATACCGTATGATCGAATTAAAACGGCGTCAGCGATGGCTATGAAATGAAGATCGATGTCATTTTATATGGAAATTTATATAGAAAATGCCATCGATCGTCATTTCTAAGCCAACTGGACGCCGTTTTTACTCGATCATACGGTATGTGTATATCTAAACAAAATTATTTGATACTATAATACACAGTCATCAGAAAAGTCTAGCGATAATTTTACAAAATCATAAATAAAATAAAATGGTGATTGTTTGGTAAACAGTTCTTAGTTTAAAAAAATATTTAGTTTTTTTCTCTTGTTTGCAAAGGAAAAATGAAATTGATATGAAAATTCATATTGTTTATAAATAATAAAAAATGCATGTGCAAAGAATTTCAATACAATAAAATGTAAGTCATAAAATTCATGTAATAAGAACATTAATTATATGTATGTCAAAACATGTCCATTACATTATAGCAACCAAAATTTAAAACAAAAGCCGTATAAAATTGTAACGGCAACAAAAAAAGTAAGGCCGCAAAATTCCATCTTTGGTATACCCCAATAAAATTTTCACAAAAGGTAGGTACTCCAACCTACTAAATGGTTTGTCAAACCCAAGTAGGTATCTAGATTAGATTTATTCTTATAAGGAAGTACGGTTTTTCGAAAATATATGTTGTTTATAAATTACAGGCGGTTTATAGAACTTAAATTTAATTTTTAACATTTAATACCCTTTCTTAAAAGGGAAACAGAAATTATTATTAACTTATTTGTAATTAGTATGTACCATGTACCTTTTTCCTACAAATAATTTAATTAATAAATATATAATTTAAAAAACATAATAAATATATGATTTAAAAAATAAACCTAAAAATATAATTTAGAGATCTGCTGTTTTTTATGTCTAGGTACGCCTCTGATCTACAGAGAATAGGATATAGTAATATACCTAAACCTACTTATTTGTATTTACCGGTGAAAAGTTAAATTTGGATTTAAATGATACACTCTCTTGTACACAATACATGAATGCACCATATTTTTAAAATAATGTCCACAGAAGTCCACAAAATAACGCAAAAATACTATAATACTGCAAATAAAGAATATGAAGCTTGATCGGCGGCATAGCAACATCGCAAAAGGAGAATCTAGGATTTTCCATTCATCCTCGAAATACGTTGTACTACGCCGGCATATTTCTAAAACTGACGTTGCCAAAATGCTTTTTATTATTAAAAGAAACACAACCATGATATTTTTATTCCATTATGAAATTTAAAATAGTAAAGTTAAGCATTAAATGAAAAAATTGACGTTAGCAAATTAATGTAGTTGATATATTACAAAAATATAACGAAATTATTTATTACTTATATTACTGGTATTTAATCGAATACTAATACCAATATACAGGTAAATCTGGCAAAGGTTTTCGGTGTAAGAGAGATGGGAAAATAAGGATAGAATAATGGCTGATGAAGGAGAAAGGTAAACAATTATATCTCTTGAGTTTAAATATCTTTGGTAACCATAGAGTAAAGCCGTAAGCATGGTATGTTCAATAATAATAATACCGTGGGTAAATCTGCGGTGAACAGGTAATTCTAAAAAGTTTTCTAAAATATACAGGAAAATTAAAAAAAAATCATGATTTTCAACATCTTTTTTTTGCGAAAAAAACATCATAGACGTGTTCCTGGGGATATATCACCCTTAAAAGAATTTGCATTTATTCAAGACTCACCCTGGATAAGCGTTTTCAGGAAACGCTAGTCGCGTTATCAATTAATACTTAATACATGTAAGCCTACAAATATTTTACGGTGCAGATATCCACTCAGAGGAAGACTCGTTTGCGAGAGCGAGGATCTGCAGTACGATGAGTCAGATACAAATAGTGAAACAGAATAGTAAATGTATGATATCTGTTTTTGAATTAATAAAAAATATGTATATTTATACTATAACCGTATACATGATTTATCTATATTAAAAGGATGAGGAGTAATATCGCGTTTTTGATAACTGTCTGTCGCTGATTTACTTAGACACGATATTTTTGTCTGCCTTTTTGTATATGGCTTTTAAAATAAATATATATATAACATTCCACCAATCAGCATGTATGTATGCTATTTTTTTTTAAATTATGGCCTCTGGAAAATAAATCATTCCTCTTTCGCGTCGTCTGCCGGCATTTTAGCGAGAAGAAAAATGTCAGGCAGCAATTTTTCACGTTTCTTAATAAGAAATAAAAGCTATTTTCGCAATTATAACTCGTATACCTAATAATATTTTAGTGTCAAAATTTCACCCTTTTCGCCACCCCTTTAAGCCCCGGGAGCGCGCTGGCAGACATGACTATTTCATAATGGCTATACAAAAAGGATACTTCACAAGAAAAATTAGGCATGTAACGATGATAAAGTTTTTTATGTAGCCAGCTCTTAGACTATTAGCCTGTTAGCTTCCTAATTTAACTATGCGTTTTTTGAATTCAGTTTTGAATAAGCTTGTTTCACCAAAATAATTCAGATTAAAAACTTTACTTACACATTATTTAAGATACTTAGATGTACACTAGTAATGTAAACTACCGTAGAAATGAATAGGTTTTGATCAAACAATTAGAGAGCATTATGTAATTATTTTTATCCACGTCAGTGAGTTAAGAAGCTTTTAACTCACGCATTTTGAGTGAGTTTCTTAACTCACGCATTTTCATTACCGCACTCCTTGCTTAGATGACTACCAAAGAGAAAAAAATATTTGTAAAACACTTAATTTGCACTAAATTGGAAAAATATGTTATGAGTACCTTTTCATTTCCATAGTTGTGTACTTTTTTTTCGGTGCACCATTTTTCGTACTTAGAGTATGTATATTCATACTTCTGTTTCGATCTTGCTGGAAGCAATCCAGAAATGGCTCTGAATGCTTCTTCTTCAATGTCAGAGGCAATACTTTCCATAGATAAGATACTATTATAATATAAAAATACTTTTCGAATCGCTCATTTTTTAAACTAGTGACATCAATATTATCAATATTATTTAATAATATTTACTGTCATATTGACATTGCCATGCATGCTCGCATGCATGGTGTTATTTGAACAAAGGTATTAAAGTAATTGACTTTTAGGATAGGTATATAGTTAAGTACAATAATTTTTAAAATTCATTGTGTGTTTCTATAGTTAAGCGGCCCACAAACGGTCAATATTATTGCGAATATTTCATATTGTGCAATAATATTGTTGCGGACCGGTGTGGACTCGACCTAACCCAAGTAGCAAATTTTATTTTATAAAGGCTGTATAAACAGCTATGTGATCATTTTTATAGGATACCTCAATTTGTATAACGTGCTATAAGACCGTAATATGATAGCTTTAC